GGGTCAAGGCCCTTGTTCTTGCGCTTGAACTCCGTGACGAGGAAGTCGACCATGTTCGAGTCGAAATCTTCACCACCGAGATGCGTGTCACCGCCCGTCGACTTGACTTCGAAGATGCCGTTCTCGATCGAGAGGATCGACACATCGAAGGTACCACCACCGAGATCGAAGATGAGGATGTTGGCCTTGTTGCCGTCCGAGCCGGCGTTCGTGTCCAAGCCGTACGCGAGGGCGGCGGCCGTGGGCTCGTTGATGATGCGCTTGACGTCGAGGCCAGCAATGGCACCGGCATCCTTCGTCGACTGACGCTGCTGGTCGTTGAAGTACGCAGGGACCGTGACGACAGCCTGCTTGATCTCCTGGCCGAGGTAGTTCTCCGCCGTCTCCTTCATGCGGGTAAGGACCATCGACGAGATCTCCTCGGGCGTGAAGCGCTTGTCCTCGCCCTTGAACGAGACCTGGATGAGCGGCTTGTCCTCATCACCCTCGACGATCTTGAACGGGAAGTGAGCAGCGTCCTTCTTGACGATCGGGTCCGAGAAAGCGCGACCAATGATACGCTTGGCGTCGAAGACCGTGTTCGTGGCGTTCGAGGCAGCCTGGAGCTTGGCGGCGTCGCCGATGAGGCGTTCGGCTTCGTTGAAAGCGACCCACGACGGCGTCGTGCGGTTACCTTCGCTGTTGGCAATGATCTCGACCTGGCCGTCCTTCCAGACACCGACGCACGAGTACGTCGTACCGAGATCGATACCGATCACCTCGGAGAAACCACGCTCGGCGCGCTTGGCACGCTCCTCACGCTCGGCACGGGCCTTGTTGATCTTGTCCTCGATCTCCATGCGCTTCATCTTGCGCGTGGCGTCGTCCATCTCGACACCCGAGGCCTCTTCCTCGAGCACCTGGTACGCGGCCTGCGCCTGCGTGAGGCCGGCCTGGAGCTGCTTGTTGCCCTTGTCGACCGTCAAGCCCTTGGTGTAGGCCTGGACAGCCTTCTGGTACGACTTGATAAAGTAGTACGCGGCACCGAGACGGGCGTAACCCTTGCCCCACTTGGCGTCGATCTCAATGCACTTGTTGGCATCGGCCATCGCCTGCGCGGCGTTGCCGGCGCTCAAGTACGCGGCCGAGCGGTTCGAGTAGTAGATGTGGTTCTCCGGCTCGAACGCGATGGCGGCCGTGAACTCCTTGATGGCCGTGGCGTGGTCGCCGGCGGCGTACGCCGCGTTACCGCGGTTCTTGGCGTCCGTGCCAGCGGCGACGCGCTCTTCGGCAGAGAGGTTGGCATGGGCGTCCTTCGTGGACTTGCCGGCGCGACGACGTTGAGGAGCCATGTCTTTTGGTGACCAAAAATGTCAAAATGGGTGTCATGGCGCGCGCGCCGGTCGAAATCGGTGGTCGACTTGCCTTCGCCATGACCACCAATTCCCAAAGTTCCCACGTGGTTTTTGAAACCAGGATGTTTGGCGGCTGAGAATAGGACATACCCGAAAGAGAGCGTGGCAGGGTGGGACCGTACTTCTTTTCGCGCGCCAATTGGGTGCTTGTATCACTTGTGGTTTGTATCGCATTTTGTTGAACCCATTTAAATGCGTTGATTGGGGTCGGTTGAAGTGTGTGTTTAAAACATGCAATGTTGCCGCGATGTGTTTGATACATGTTGTTTTCATGCGCATCAAACCAGGAAAGGGTGTTGTTGAAGGTAGCGATTGAACCCTCGTTGAAGCGGCGCCAAACCTCAAGCGACGGAGAAAGAGACGCTGTACAATCTCAGTGCAACGGTTATGCATGTACCAGCAAGTACTTGTGTATTTTAATTTGTCGTGAAGGACAATTGTGTACATCTGTGGAATGATATTCAACGATAAGGATGGGTAATCATCATCACTCCATGTGCTCTTTTACGACTGTAGTTTCTATTTCAGTGATTTCGGTGCACCTCTACCAGGACGCTACCTGAGTGCATTGGAGGCGGCGACTAACCTCAACAATGACCTGAAATTACTGAAGCCGGGACCACAGTCATTTCATACACCACAACCAACGATCAAATGACACGCGTGATGTCGATACCTCGTATGTGTTGGAGAGGTCTATTACCGTAAGTTGCGTCATGTCTTATCAGTAGGACGAATGCGAGGGACCCGATTGAGGTTTCGGCGCGCCTTCTTCTCGCGATAGCAGTGGCGCACCCAGTGCCATCACCATCGTGGTCCAACTGCTGGGTTGTAGCACAACATTCTTGACGTACATCGATCATACCTCGCAAAAAGATCCAAAAGATCCACCTACGATGAACTTTATTGGGATAACACGCAGATCTAGTTATCGCAGTTGGTGTTCAATGGACTTTGAAGTACCTGGGGAAGTGACCGTTCTGCACTCAAACCTCGATGGGCCGAGTCTGCACCTTGCACTGTGATGCACAGGCATGCCCGAAGGCTACTCGGTACTTCAACCAGTTAGCAAACACTAATTCAAAGATTTCGCATATATAGCGCTATGTCGGAATGCGTGGGAGTTGCAAGCACTTGGTCGTTGGGAGTGAGCTGCGTACGGAGAGATCCATCCCGCAGATCGGTTCTAGTAGAAGAATGAGAACTATAGAGAAAATGGTGGTCGACGCGTACATTCTGATTAGCAAAATCGACGTTGACATACCATTAAGTGACCTGAACTCGCGCTTGTATAAGCGCTGCCACGCTAGACGAGGGGATAGCACGACATGAGCGTTTTGCACGAGTCGCCAATAGGCCAAACGTGGCGAGACTTGAGCGGACGAAGCAGCAGAAGCTCGACGTGCTCGATTTAGATCAAACCACCCACTCCGTTTCCGATGCATTTGCACCCCGATAACGCTTGCATCCGTTTCAGGAGCTCGTAAGACATACACGCTTGGACGTCCAAGCGATACTGCACAAGCGTTTGACTCTCGAAATAGCGTGGACTGCAGCTATTTCATGCGCTCGCTATGTATACCTGCTCCAACCATAAACGTCGCGTCTGTGATCCTCGATGACACGCATCCCGTCATACTTCATCCTCCTGCGCCAACGACTGTGTCTGGTGCATGGCGTGGTACTTTGACCATACACACACAACCGAGGCAGCCCAACCACCGCCATCGCCTCCGTCAAGAACGCTGTTGCATCTTGGAGACACCTCGCGGCTTCTCCGAGGACTGGCATCGCTCGAGCAATGCGCTGTTCTGACGCGTACGTCGGGGATCGTAGCCGCTCTGTCTGCGTACAAAACGCCGCGTGTATTAAACACTTGCGAAACGAGGACTTTTCCAGCCGCCCGCGCAAGTCGGCACCGGCCGGAGCCAATCACATGCGCGCTTTGTCACAGATCCCCAGATTGGCCAATCAGAGGTGCGGAACGACGGCCTGTGGCGGGCCAGAAAAAAGGATGGTCTGGAACGGGTCTCGCATTCTTGGCCAGCGCCAAATCAGGCCTTGGTGCGGAGGCGTATCCGGATATCGTCCGTTGACACTCATCAGCGCGTATTTAAATAACGCCTCGTTTGAACGCTTGCATTTCATTGCATTTGGCGTCGCTTCTCTCGGCCTTACTATGTCGTGGTCATTAAAATAGCCGCGTATTTCATTGCGATAGCATCGCGCGCGGCCGTAATTAAAAACGGAATCCGGAAAACGGCCGAGCGCTGGCCACGATTCATTTCGCAATTCGCCTTGCAAGAAACACCATGGCCCCTCAACGTCGTCGCGCCGGCAAGTCCACGAAGGACGCCCATGCCAACCTCTCTGCCGAAGAGCGCGTCGCCGCTGGCACGGACGCCAAGAACCGCGGTAACGCGGCGTACGCCGCCGGCGACCACGCCACGGCCATCAAGGAGTTCACGGCCGCCATCGCGTTCGAGCCGGAGAACCACATCTACTACTCGAACCGCTCGGCCGCGTACTTGAGCGCCGGCAACGCCGCGCAGGCGATGGCCGATGCCAACAAGTGCATTGAGATCGACGCCAAGTGGGGCAAGGGTTACGCCCGTCTCGGTGCCGCGTACTACTTTATCAAGTCGTACCAGAAGGCTGTCCAGGCCTACACCAAGGGCTTGACGGTCGACAAGGGCAACAAGCAGCTCCAGGCCGGCCTCACGCAGGCGCAGGCTGCGTACCAGGTGCTCGAGGAAGAGGCCTCGGGTGTCGAGATGGACGACGCCACGCGCAAGATGAAGCGCATGGAGATCGAGGACAAGATCAACAAGGCCCGTGCCGAGCGTGAGGAGCGTGCCAAGCGCGCCGAGCGTGGTTTCTCGGAGGTGATCGGTATCGATCTCGGTACGACGTACTCGTGCGTCGGTGTCTGGAAGGACGGCCAGGTCGAGATCATTGCCAACAGCGAAGGTAACCGCACGACGCCGTCGTGGGTCGCTTTCAACGAGTCGGAGCGCCTCATCGGTGACGCCGCCAAGCTCCAGGCTGCCTCGAACGCCACGAACACGGTCTTCGACGCCAAGCGTATCATTGGTCGCGCTTTCTCGGACCCGATCGTCAAGAAGGACGCTGCTCACTTCCCGTTCAAGATTGTCGAGGGTGATGAGGACAAGCCGCTCATCCAGGTCTCGTTCAAGGGCGAGGACAAGCGCTTCACGCCCGAGGAGATCTCGTCGATGGTCCTTACGCGCATGAAGGAGACGGCGGAGAACTACCTCGGCCAGGAGATCAAGCAGGCTGTCGTCACGGTCCCTGCTTACTTCAACGACCAGCAGCGTCAGTCGACGAAGGATGCCGGTGCCATTGCTGGCCTCGACGTCAAGCGTATCATCAATGAGCCCACGGCCGCCGCCCTCGCGTACGGCTTGGACACGAACGCCGGCTCGGACGGCAACAAGGCCAACATCCTCATCTTCGATCTCGGTGGTGGTACCTTCGATGTGTCGATCCTCTCGATCGAGAACGGCATCTTCGAAGTCAAGTCGACGGGCGGTGACACGCATCTCGGTGGTGAAGATTTCGACTCGAACATGGTCGACTTCCTCGTCACGGAGTTCAAGCGCAAGAACAAGGGCCTTGACCCTACGTCGTCGGCTCGCTCGATGCGCCGTCTTCGCACGGCCTGCGAGTCGGCCAAGCGCATGCTTTCCACGACGACGTCGGCTGCCATTGAAGTCGACTCGCTCTTCGAGGGTGTTGACTTCTCGTCGACGATGACGCGCGCCAAGTTCGAGTCGCTCAACGAAGAGTGCTTCAAGCGCACGGAGGAGACCGTCCTCAAGGTGCTTGCCGACGCCAAGATGAAGCCGGAGGAGATTACGGAGCTCGTCCTTGTCGGTGGTTCCACGCGTATCCCCAAGGTGCAGAACATGCTCTCGGCTGTCTTTGGCGGCAAGGAGCTCTCGAAGTCGATCAACCCGGATGAGGCCGTCGCGTACGGTGCTGCCGTCCAGGGTGCCATCCTCTCGGGCATTCGCAACGACGCCACGAACTCGCTCCTCCTCGTCGATGTGACGCCGCTCTCGCTCGGTATTGAGACGGTCGGCCGCGTCATGTCGGTGCTCATCAAGCGCAACACGGCCATCCCGATCAAGAAGACGCGTGTCTACACCACGGAGTCGGACTACCAGACCCAGGTGAACGTTGTCATCTACGAAGGCGAGCGCGCCTGCGTGGACCACAACAACAAGCTCGGCGAGTTCACGATCTCGGGCCTTGAGCGCGCCAAGCGCGGCGAGCCGCAGGTCGAAGTCACGTTCGAGATCGATGCCAACGGTATCCTCAACGTGTCGGCCCGCGACAAGAAGACGAACGCCAAGGCCGAGACGACGATCTCGAACAACCACGGCCGCCTGAGCCAGGCTGACATCGACCGCATGGTCGAAGAGGCCGAGAAGTTCAAGAAGGAAGATGCCGAGGCCCTCAAGAAGATCGAGGCCCGCAACTCGCTCGAGAGCTTCATCTACCGCGCGCTCGAGCTCACCCGCGAGAAGGGTGACGCCGCCGCCGAGAACACGATCCGTGAGGCCCGCGAGTGGCTCGAGGACCACGAGGATGCCACGCTCCGTGAGTTGGAGGAGAAGAAGCGCGTCCTTGAGCGCCTCGTCCGTTAAACGGATGACGCTGGTCGTAGTTTAGTTTGTACTTAAAGTAGATTTTGAGTTTCGCATGCTATTCTCACTTGAAGTGTCTTCCTTGTTCATTCCCAATTCCTCGGCTGTTCGAGGACCAAAAGCCTGGTCCCCTGAGAGATTTATGCAGAGCACCACGTGCATGCTTCCTCGTGGCTCGACGGAGGGCCTGTCCTGCACACCGACGCCCACGCAGCAATGCGTATTTGGTTGCTGCGTTGAGTTTGAGTTTGAGTTTGCACCTCCCACTCTATGTGGATCGATGACGTGGGTCAATATTTGATAGGCCCCAATATTTGGTTTGAATTTTCGATCCCGAAGCAGCAGCAGCTGGACCTGCGACGAGCGACCCGCAGCCCAAGCTTCCTCGGACAGCTCTCAGCTCCTAGGGTAGCTCCAAGCTCTGATACACCTCTAAGCTCTAAGCTCTAAGCAGCTCTAAGCTCTAAGCTCTAAGCTCTAAGCTCTAAGCTCTAAGCTCTAAGCTCTAAGCTGCAAGCTCCACGCTCTACTACAGCACTGGCTTCGCTCAGACACAGCCATCGCCCAACGGTACTGGGAAGGAGACGAGGAGGAGGCAGCTGCTGCAACAGAACGACGTCGTCGCGAGCGCCAAGATATGGCGGCGTGTGCAGCACTTCTACGGGCGGCCAGCTGGGATTTGTCTTGGCTTCTGTATGCTGTGTGGTATAGGCAACGGTTTTTAATTTTTCAACCGCGAGCTTTGGACCGAGCATGTCGGCCCCGCCCCCGCCGTCGACCAAGTCGGTCGTCCTCGACCTCGAGCCGGCGCTCGGCCTCGTCGCGCCGCCACCCGAGACCCTCGGTCTGCTTCCTTCCTCCTCTACGTACCTCGCTCATGTATGACTCATAGTCGCGATCCCAATGGACGCCGAGATGAAGAAGCGACGCTCGTCGACCATCAAGCTCCAGCCGCGAGGTACGATCGATGGTCCATGAACGCGGACGTATCGCGGTCGCTGTAGCGCCCGTCTCGGGAGCAAAGCGGCCCCAGTTCATTCCGCGCCGCCACTCTGGCGTCTCTCGCGTCTCTCGGTATGCATTCGTTGCCATACTGGCGTCTAAGGTGGCGTAGGCCGAGCGAGTCGGAGCTCGACCTTAGCGACTTGCCCGGCATCGGGAAGCCGCCATTGAGCCACAACATTGTACTCAAGATGACCATCCATACAGATGAGGACGTGCGCACGTCGTTCGTCGTGACGCAGGACCCTCGGGGCTGTGGCATTGGCCGCAAGCCCGCCAACGTCGTCAGTATTCCCGCCGACAAGTACATGACCGACCTCAACCACGCCGTCGTGAGCCACGCCGTGCATCCGTTGCATGGACCCGGGTTCTATATCACGAACGGCAACGACGGCACGAACGCCACATACATTCGCCTGAGCCCCGTGAGCCTCGACGACCATGCGTCCAAGACACAGTGGCCGCTCTCGCTCGGGTGCCAGTTCCGCGCTGGCAAGTCGGATATTGAAGTCATGGCACTCGGCCCGTCCTCGCTGCGCCTCAAGGTCCTCTCCGGGAAGCTCGTCGGCAACACGTACGACGTGGACGGGCGTGGCGCGACCATAGGCCGATCCGCCGACAACACCATCCACACGGGTACTGCCTACCGTGCCTCGCTCTTGCTGACGCTCATGCCGATATGCAGGCGACGGCGAGCTCTCGCGGCGCCACGCGTCCATCTGGTGCGACCCCGCCGACGGACGCTTCTACGTCCACGACGTTGGGTCCACCAACGGCACGTTCATGAAGCTCTGCGGCGCGTACGCAGACCCGTACCGTCTTGAGATTGGCGACCACATCCTCGTCTCCCAAACCTGCTTGTCTGTGAACCGGTCGGTATTCCTTTTTGCTCAGAAAATATCTGTAGCTGCAAGGATGCGTAGGTTCGACTACGGCGTCAACGACAACATGGGCTGCCGAAAGCACATGGAAGACGCGCACTCGCTCATCCAGGTATGTCCATGCTGTGCGTGGGTCGGCGTCGGCAGCTGGGAGGTAGGATATGAACATTGCAGCGCTCTCCAAAGCTGGCTACGCCCCACAGTCTTTTTTCGGTGTCTTTGATGGTCACGGTACGAACATTGGGCGTCCATTCAGACAGCAGCGACGAGGAGAAATGTGTGTCCTTAGGCGGGCTCGAAGCCTCGCACTACCTCCACGACCAACTGCACAAGCACATTATCAGCGAGCTACAGGTGCTTGATGATGCTGCGTGATGGGCAAGGTTGACGTCATGATAGATGCGAACAGCCGACGTCGATCTCTCCAATGCGACAGACGTGGACGCTATCATTATCGCGGTGCGCTCTCCATGCACCGCCGCCACTTGCGCTCATTGCCGGACTCGTAGAGCCTTACGACGGCCTTTGAACAGACGGACGCGGCGTTTCTCCAGGTTCCATTTGACTCGAAAGATGGATTCATTTTACCATTTTGAGATAGGAGTCGGACCGACCGCAAGCAGGCAGTACAGCTACCACGGTCTTTATTGCTGGTCGCCGCATGTACGTTGCGAACGTCGGTGACTCGCGTACGGTCCTGAGCCGAAATGGCGCGGCCGTCCGGCTCTCTAACGACCACAAGCCCTCGAGGTACCATTCCCAACGCACTACGATTCTCAAGCGGCCGTAGACCGGACGAAGCCCAGCGGATTCGAGACACGGGAGGCTTTATCATCCACGGGTACCTTCGTCGCATCAGCGATATCGACAAGACGATTTGTCACCTGTAGACGCATTATGGGCGAGCTGGCCGTGTCGCGGGCCTTTGGCGACTGCGAGTTCAAGACGTACGACACGCATGGCAGCCAGTCGAGCCTGGTACGCCAGCCTTTGATGTATTTTGTGTTTATGTTGGCATGCAGCGCCTCGAAGACGAGTTTGGCGTCGAGCAGCCGGTCGTGAACCCGAATGAGATCCTGAAAGGGCCATTGGTCATTGCGACGCCTGAAGTGACGACGAGTGATGTCACGGGTACGTCCTCGTCCTTGCTTAACCGCCTCATTGAGGCGTGTAGACGAGGCAGATTTTTTATTGCTGGGCAGCGACGGCCTCTTTGACGTGTTTGAAGACCAAGAAGCCGTCGACTTTGTCACGTAGGCGTCTGTTCCGACCACGAAACCTAACGTTCATGGCACTAGAACCCAGCTGCGCAAAGGCGGCGACGTCCAGCGCACCGTCGAGGTAGATGGCTTCATGTTGCCAAGTGTCATCATCATGCGACGGCTTGTAGGCGCTCGTCGAGTATGCGATCGGCACGCAAGGCTCAAGAGACAACGTCACGGCCATCGTTGTGCTCTTCAAAGACATTGCGGCCATGTAAATAGAAACACGATTGTCTTTGTACAACACCTACAAGCGGTCGAAGTAGTTAGGGCGGGTCGCTGCCCAGCGCAAGGCGGCTAAACTTAGTCTGCGTCTCGACGTAGCTGCAGCAGGAAGATGATGGCGAGGGTGGCGGTTGGTCGATCTCGGGTAGCAGCGATGGTCGCCACTCGTGGCTCGGTGGGCCAACTCGCTTTGGCACAGGCTTGACGATCATGTCGTACTTGCGCTTCTTGAGCAGCGTCGTATTCACGAGCTGGACGGGCCGGGGCGACTGCGCGGCTTCGAGGAGGCTCACGACCGGGTTCTGCGGCCGGGCGCTCGCCGTTGCCATCGGCGATAAGAACGCGAGGCGCAGCTCGTCGTCGTCGTCGTCGTCGGCGTCGTCGGCCAAATGCGCAGCGCGCTGCATCGCGGCCGTCATCAGTCTATTTCTGAGCTTGCACATGCCGGCGAGTCCGGATAGACTGTGGATTGTCCGGATACGCGCGCAACCTTTCTGAAAGTGTATCTTTGTCGCCGTCGTCTGGTTTTCGTAGCCGACACATCCCGCGCGATCCAGCTACTCAAAGAGTGGGACCACGACCTCTACTCCGAGATGCTCGTCGGAGCACCCGCGCCGAGCTCTCTCGAGACACGCCTCCGAGGCTGAGAAGCGCGCAGAACGCCAAACAATATGCGGCCGAACGTTCGGCACAGATCGCGGCGGATATGTGCAGGCGAGTATATACGTTCTTAGCTCTTGAGAATCGCGTCCAGTGAAATGCAGTGCAGTGCATTGGTCGTCGCTTCCGTCACGTACATCTTGTGGGTGCCCCTAGTAATATTGGCGGATGAGACGCTATTGACAGTAAGAACTCGAGTGCGCACTCGACACAGAGCCCCGTGATCTCCTGGCCTGGCACTTCGAGCACGTGCTCCAGCGTGCCTTGCGCCGAGAGCACGTAGATGCGGCCATTCGCAGCGTCCGCGCCTTCGCTCCATCAATCCTAGCCTTGCTAAAGAAAGGATACCGGCCATGTCGTAGGACCCGACGTAGACGCGGCCGGCCGTGTCGCACGCGATGCAGGACGGGCCGAGGCCGCCAGCAAACTGGTAGAACACCGACATGTGGTAGATCCCGGGCGGGCGCTGGACGAAGCGCAAGACGCGGTTGGCCATCATCTCGGCCACGTACCTAGCACTTGTTCAAGGATCTTCCACATTGTAAGAGGCGTACACGAGCTTCGAGTCGGGCGAGACGGCAACGGCGCAGGGGTGGGCGAGGCAGTTTAGCGCCAGCGGCTTGAGAATTTGGCCGCCGCTCGGGTTGGCAGCGATGCAAAAGACGCTACCCCGCGGGTTCTCGAGCGTCGTCTCGCCGAGCGGCCCGCTGTCGGTGAAGTACGTCGTGTTGGCCGGCGAAATGGCAATGCTGCTGGGGCCCTACGACGTCATTTTCGCAATTTTTTCAGAGCCAAAAATGCGGACGCGAAAAGGCTTTTCCTCGTAGACCTTGACGACGATGCCAGGCTGGTGGCTGTGGTTGGCGAGGTCGACGCGCAGAATCGCCGCGTGCGCGCAGTCAGCGATGTGCACCTTGCCGTGCGAGTCAAAGACCGCGCCGTACGGCTCGCCGCCCGTGTACGCGAGCGCCGAGTGCTTCCCCTCCGAGTAGGCAAACACTTCGCCCGTCCCAGACGAGACGTATCCGATGACCTCCTTTCCGTTGATCTCGCGGGCGAACGGGCTGCAGATCTTGGTGCCCTTGCAGCGCAGCGTCTCCTGGAGGTAGCTGCCCATCGATCAACTGCCGTTTCGAAATTGCCATTTCGTGACCCTTTGAAGTCATCTGGCGTCTGGGGCAGAGGACCCAAACCACCACCAAATCTACCGATGCATGAAGCGCCTCTCCGACATGCCCAGATCACATGTGTATTTGATAGCGAGACGATGACGGCGCGGTCGTTGCCCGATCGCTTATGGCGAAGTACCCGTAGGCACGGTGCTTCCACCGGTTCAGACGCCACCGCAGTAGCCCAAAGAGCGCCAGTCCTTTTTAGTCATGGCGAACATCGCCAATGCTGGAAGAGAGTCGGGTAGCTCATGTAATTCCAAGTCGACGCGGCGTGCGAATCGAGACGACAGCTAACGACGCTGGAGAAAGGGTCTGGTGACTTAAACAACGTGACGAGCTACTGCTGCTTGGCTTGGGGAATGTGGTTGGGCGCGTCGGCAAAGTACGTTTGGAGAATGTACGCGCGCGAGAGGAGCGGTTCAATGTCGTCTTCTTCCCACTCTTTGGTCGGGAGGCTCTGGAGGAAGAGCACGAGGTCCTGGAACTCCATCTCCTTGAGCATGTCGCCAAAGGTCATGAGGATGGCCGCGCAGACGTACACGTGGAAGTTCTCAAAGCCATTGTCCTCGCATAAATACGTGTCCCAGAGCCGGATGATCGCGTGCAGTGGGCATTCGCGCATGAGGAGGCAGTTCATCCAGCGAAACGCAAACTGTACAAACTGCACCGACTCGGTCTCGACAATGTGCGTGTGCAAGTCGGCGTCGCAGCGCTTGACGAGGTCTTCCATGCGCTGCACCATGCGCTGCAAGCCCGGCTGTGAAAACGTATAGTGGTCCTACATACCAGTGTGAGCAGTGCCAAAAGTTTCAATGTGTCAACCTGGATGTCGTCAAGCAGCTTGGTGAGGCACCAGTAGCTATCGGCCTCGACTTCCTGGAGCGCTTCGTCCGAGACACTGCTCAAGTCGCTCCGCTCCGGGTCGTCTACGAGGCCACGTCATGTAAGAAGTGCGACATTTCTGCAAAATACGAAATATATACCGACAAAGACCGAGAGAAAGACCGTCACAAACGGCGTCAAGAGGTCGTTGATGCCTTGGACGTACCCGGACGCAGGGTGGCGCACCGCCCAAATGTACAGAACGCGCTCCATGCTCTACCCACGGTTGAGGCGCCAGGATCTCGACCCAAGGTACCTTTTGGATCGACGGGTGCTGGAAGAGAGGCACGCCAGGGTTCGTGCGCGGAATGTCGATGAGAATCTATCGTCAGGTCGCATGCCAATGCATCGACGAGCATGGGTTACCTGGTGCAGCGTTTCCTGCTCCTTCATGCCACGGTCCGTGTCGGGGATGTAGTAAAACTGGCGAAGGAGCTCGCCGTACTCGGCGCGCTTGCGCTGGAGCATGGCCTCGCGTCGGTCCTTGTGCGACGGTACGTAGCTCAAGAGGAGCTTCCACACGAGCGGTCGAAACTCGACGGGCACACCGCCCCAGCTGAGTTCGCGCAGCTTCTCGAGGTCCACCGAGTCTTGCTTGTCGTTCTTGAGGAGCGTCGCAAACTGCTCCGAGCGCAGGTTGCCCGCCGCATTGCGCGGCCCCGGGCCAGAGGCCACGGCGTCTTTGGCCGGCGATTTGGTCGCGGGCAGCCCCTTTGGAATCGGCGGCGGCGTCGCCCACACCGGCGGCAGCTGTGCATTGCAAAACGGCGAGGCCTTGACGCCGCCGGGCAGCGGCGGGTGCTGGCTCGAGGCCGACTTTTTGCGGCCAAAAAAGCCCGTCGACGCCGACGCAGCTTGGAGGAAGTGCGACCCGCCGCCGTGCTTTTCCTTCTTCCCGAGCTTGTGGAGCGCCGATTTGAACATGCTCGCCTTCGGGCTCGTCTCCTACGCCACGAGGCTACGGCGGCGCTCATGCAGGCGAAGGCCGTACCTGCGGCGTCGCTATCGAGGACGCATTCGCCGTCGCGTTCTCACTGTTGTCCATCGGGAAAGCTCTTGTGTCATCTTTCGTCACTCGTCCATTTAATACCGATCGCCTCAGCAACACGGACGCTAAGCTCCTGTCATAAATAAATATATACAAAAGTCAAGCAAAATAAATGATGTGCGAAACTAATGTCGTTGAACCGAGGTGTATTTTAAAGATCGCGGGGCGATTCTGGGTGCCAGCCGGATTCCAACAGGATAATTTTAGCGTTGCAACCGGTTAGTGCGTCGAAAAACGACCGCTCATTGACGACTACAATAACCGAAGATGCTAAGCGGTTAGCCGTGGCGATGATGCGCTTGAGCCGGTTCGACATCTGGAACCGGATTGCCGCCACGAGCCATTCATCAATCCACGCACGCGATCGTCCAGGTAGAGATGCCATCACCGGCGTGAGGTTGACAGTGAGAATGTATAGCGATGACCGACAACATGGAGCTGCTGCCGCGCACGCACTCGGACTTTGCCCGCAAGGAGTACTGGGACGAGTTCTTCACCAAGCGCCAGGAGAAGGCCTTCGAATGGTACGGGCAGTACGCCAACATGCGCCCCGTGCTCAAGACGCTCGTCAAGCCGTCGGACCGCATCCTCGTCGTCGGCTGCGGTAACTCGGACCTGAGTCCGCTCTGGGCGGCGGATGGCTACAAGCACATGACGTCCATGGACTTTTCCGAGCTTGTCATTGCCGAGATGAAGCAGAAGCACCCCAAGATGACGTGGGATGTCATGGACATGACCAAGATGACGTATGCGAACGACAGCTTCGACTGCATCATGGACAAGGGCGCTTTGGATGCGCTCATGGCGACGGATGATGCGCCAGGTAGCCTCCTCCTCGCTTCGCCTCCTTCCTCCTACCTCGTGGCTAGTGCTGGCGAGCGCGCTCGAGATGTTCAAGGAGGTCGACCGCACGCTGGCCGTGAACGGCTCGTACATTTGTGTGACGATGGCCCAGGACTTTATCATCCAGCACCTCCTCACGACGTTCGCCGAGACCTTTCCCAACTACAAGATCTCGGTGCTCGACGTACGCTGCCTCATACATGGCGATGGACGTACTCACCTTGTGTCTGCAGGTCCCCAAGGACGCCAAGAGCAACACGCCGTTCACGCCCTTCTTCCTCGTCTGCACCAAGCAAGCGGCGCCGATGCCGATGGTCAAGTACAACGGCAAGATGTTCCACGACGGCGACGCACGTGCGCGCAAGGCCTGGCTTCTCCACGAGATCGAAGCCACGCAGTGGTACTCCATGTCGCAGCTCGAGCTCAAGAAGATCCACGTCGGCCGCCAGCGCGTTATCGAGCTCATGACGAGCGCGTCGACGGGCCTCAACACGACGCCGCGCTACTCGATCCGCCTCGTCGACGTCCACGCACAAGGCCCCAACGGCACGTGCGGCGTCTTCCTTGTGCCCCAGGGCCGCGAGCACGAGTACCTCTTTGCGACCGAGGAGGGCGCGATGGAACTTGCGTCTGGCGCTGGTTTCTCGCGCTTCCTTATCGTGAGCCTCGGCCGCACGCATACGTTTGAGAGCTTGGAGGCGGTTCAGCTCGAGCTCAACCCCAAGATCATGGAGCTGAGTCCCGAGAGTCTGGGTCGCAACGAGAAGATCCCGTACATGACGGTCCAGGAGGGCCTTGGTCAGCGCCAGGTGGTGGCCCAAGGCACGTCGGCGCTCAGTGGCGACTACTTTATCGAAGAGGTCGAGACCCACCGCCGGCTCGTCTTCCTCAGCAACAGCAACACGATCCAGACGGAGATTTCGCTCTTGCCCGCGCTCACAGGTATATTGCATCGACTTGATCGAGCTATATGTTGAGTTTTGTGCAGCCAAGCAGCTCAAGGCCAAGAAGAAGAAGGCGGCGTCGACCCGCGTCCGGTTTGACCCGACGTACCTCGCGTTCGAGTACCACAAGAGCATGGCCGCGCTCCTCAAGACGCACACCGAGTTGCATCCGGTAGCGGCGACGGAGAAGCACCGCAGCCTCCTTGTCGGTCTCGGCGGCGGCTCGCTCGCCAGCTACGTGCAGGCTACGATGCCGTCGGTGGCACTGACCGCCGTCGAGCTCGACCCGACTATCGTCGAGATTGCGACCACATATTTTGGCTTGATGACCAACAGCAACCTTCACGTCATCACGGACGACGGCTTGGCCGTGCTTGCTGCCGCAGGTAAACCGCATCGTCCTCTTCCGGTACAAACCCGCCCATGTCGCTCGTAGCCCCCGCGTCCTACGACTCGATTCTGATCGACGTCGATGCCAAGACGGCCGACGAGAAGGCGGCCGGGATCACGTGCCCGCCGCTCACGTTCCTTTCGCCGTCGTCTCTTGCGGTATACAATAACGTCCCAACTGCGATGCCACATACCAGTATGTAGGCGATGCACATGGCACTTCGCGAGCACGGCGTGCTCCTTCTCAACGTCTCGTGCCGGTCCAGCGCCATGTACAAGGACGTCTTGTCGCGGCTGCACGCCGCCTTTGGCGCGTCACCCGTGCTGGAGCTTCGCGCGTCCGAGCAAGACGTGAACCGCATCGTGGTCGTCTCCAAGGGCAAGGCAACGGACCTCGCGGCGTGGCGCAAGCCGCTGCTGAGCGCCAACTGCCCGACGCTGCCGGGCTTCGACGAAGACGAGCTCGCGGACCTTCTTGGGCTTCTTGACGTGGCCGACGAGGCGTAATACGAACAACTATACGCTGCTGCTCGTTGGAGCCAACAGCGCAGTCCTCCCATCGCGTCGATCCCAGTGGGGAGAGTAGGATATGTTGCTCGCTATATATTGGTTTACATGGCAAGTGGCGGGCGCTAGACGTGCATAAACGTGTGCGGGTGCGCGTGTTCCAAGAAGCGCTGCATGATAGCGCCAATGACGAGCGTGAGCGTGCACAGCACGAGCGTCACCGTGTTGATGAGCAGCTCGTTCCACACCACGTAGCAGCCGACGCAGAGCGGCAGCACCATGGCGATTGCCAGGTTTTGATCCGAGAGCGCGACTAGCCAAGCGCGGTGAGTGCTTCTTGCTGCAAAAAGAACGTCATACCTTTGTACGGACGGTCGATCTCCGGGTGCGTGTAGCGCATGCGCACGGCGGCGCAAATCTCCACGACGCTTGCGAGCGCGTTGAGAAAGTTGTCGACGCCCAAAATCGTCTCAAAGTCAAAGAGACACATGACCACAATGATGGAGAACGACAAGAAAATCGACCGACGGGGCACGCCGTTGGGGCCATGGCGCCTACGCCGTAGGATGAGCACCGAGAAAGCAAAGCAGTAGCACCACGTACACGGCAAAGAAGGACGGCGCGAGGCCCGAGTCGGCCATGCCCGCCAGCTGGAACCCGTCTTTGGTCATCTCGGCAATGTACAAGCCGAGGTTGCCGAAAAAGTTGGAAATCAGTACCCAGACGCAGAGCCAGACGCCTAGAATACGCTGAGCGCGAGGATCCCATGAGGCTTGTACCGCCAATGCCTTGGGCGATCTGCGAGTACGAGCCGTCGGTCCACGTCGTGTAGTGAGGCTTGTCGGCGCCCGAGATGGCGATGAACGGGATGATGTACGTGAACGCAATGAGCACGACCGTGAGCATCATGGCTTTGGGGTACGTGCGCTTCGGGTCTTGGATCTCGCCCGCGTAGGCGCCGGCCGCGTCAAAGCCCGAGTAGTTCCAGTACAGGACGCTGATGAGTTGCGTCCAGTTGCGCTATAGGCATCGTCAATCGCCTGCATAGGTCGAGAGAGCATACCTCGTCCGAGATGACAAACCAGTTGGCCGGCTCGATCTGCGGAATAGCGACAAACACCATGACGAGGAAGGGCATCGCGACGATGATGGCAAGGAAGAGCATCGTGTTGCCGACCATTTTGATGCTCGTGAGGGTCGGGATCATAAACAAGATGGCGATCGCGACGCGTGCACCAAACTTGGTGCTGAACGAGATCCCGTCGTCGCCGCCGTCGCCGTCGAGGTTGCCATTGAGAAGACCAAAGAGCGAGTCGACAATGAGGCACGGATAGATTGCATTGTCAATGACGCCGGCGACCCACGACCAGTAGCCGACGTGGAAGCCCATGGGGCGGCCAAAGGCCATGCCGACCCACGTGCAGAAGCTCGAGTCGGTGGGGAAGGCGCTAAAGAGCTCGGCGTAGACAAGGGCCAATGGCATGCACCAGATCCACGGGAAGATCGAGACCGCGAGGATCCCGATAAGTGGCCCGCACGACGCGATGATGGGCTCGCTGCCCCACGGGCCGCCCGACACGTTGAAATACGTGATGAGCGCCACGGGCAGGATCCCGAGCTGGCGCCGGCTCGTCGACTGCCGGCGCAGGATCGGGTCCTTCTCTACATCGGTGTGGATCGTCATGGAAGAAGTACGGCTGACGACGCTGCTGCTGCTGCTTCTGCTGCTGCCACTGGCCCTGGTCTCTCCTCGACGTCAAAGTTCGATTTGTTGAAACCACAGAAGGTCCGAGGATCCGGATACGGGCGCGCCAAACCCAGGTTTTCACGGTCACCCGACAGCCGCCGACGCGCTGCCGTCGCCTACCGAGCGCGATCGTGCTTCGAGACACGTTGACCTCTGCCACCGTGCATGGCAGCATCGACCGCGGCCCCTCGGTCCCGTCACTGGACCTCGCTGGCCATGGCGCGCCAACGTCCGTGACAGCGGCCCTGCGACACGGCGGCGCCGTATCCGGACGCACCGGCGGGGATGCGCAGCTGCAACGGGTTTGGCGCTTGCACGCGACTGGCGACAACAGCAACGTGCGCTGCGGTCCAGTGACGCGCTGTGGACACCCGTACGTCTATTGCGCAACGGGCGGTCACGTGACCGCGCGTATCCGGCAGAATTCGCGATCACCTCGCAGCGCCCAGCGCCGATTTCGCGGACCTTTCCGCGCGGTGAACGATGATAGCGTCCGGATAGCCAGCGCTGACGCGATGTTCCGGATAAAATGGCGTCGCCCAATCACCGGTGGTGGCCGTTGGCGTTACGCTCGCAATCGCAAGCTTGCGGCAGAGGACGCAGGACAATGGAGCAAGCATGGCTCATCGCGCCCATGGTGGTCGTCGCGCTCATCCTTCCGTTCGTCTTCATCTGGGCGACATGGGACCATGACCTCTTCCGCCAGTACGACGACGACGAGCTCGAGAATGTAGCATCATCGATCATCTTGCGTAGATTGCCCATGCTGCCAGGTCCACTCGACCGCGGGTCCAAGGAGTTTAAGATTCGCTGCGCCATCTCGAGCCATGTGCGCCGCGGCTGGACCTCGCGCGAGCGCATGCTGCAGCCGTGTCCGCGTGTGACGCTGCAGACCAAGTTTTATATTTTGGACCAGGAAATCTCGAGTGTGCGGGCGGCCTTGGGCGCGCCGGCCAAGGACATCACGGCCGTGCCCCTCATGTTTCCCCAGGTACGCGCTCGTTGGGAAGCCCATGCGATCCTAATCGCGTAGATTCTGTGCGGCCACCTCTTGGTGCAACTGCTCGGCAACTCGCACTTTCCGACGCGCGTCGACACGATGGTGTGGAAGCGCCTGCACGTGACGCAGCTGCGTCGCATCGCAGTCGACGAAGAGCTCAACGTACATTGCGCTTGTCTTGTCCTGATGGCTCTGAATCGATCGATCGTAGTGCCTCATGGCGCTCATCAGCAAGGTGTTTACGCCCGAGGGTATTGAGTTTACGGTGCAAACCGACCTCTTTGACGACGAGTCGGTCGTGTGGCAGTCGTCGCTGTACTTCGTCGTGCCCCATACGATCCCGGCCAAGCAAGCGATTCCCATTAAGGGGCCGTCCAACCCCATCGACATGGAACTCCTCACAACGGCAATGGACCAGCCGAGCCGCCGCTTCCCGCTCAACTGCTCCAAGGAGCGCCTTGCCGACTTTGACAAGGTCTGTCGTAGATGCCTGTCGCCGCTATTTTCTCAACCGAACGGCTAGGGCGGTGCGGTCGACGTGGAGCAGCTCTCGCTCTTTTCGACGCCCGAGCCGCGTGCGACGTTCTTGTGGATGGCGGCCGCTGCGACGTCGACGATCGAGCAGCACCAAGGTACCTCGTTTCTCGTGGCCGTAGCACCCGCTGACCGGAGGGCGTAGGCGACAACCTCACGTACCCGATCGCCTGCCATTGCTCGCTCGAGACGCCGCTGGCCGAGCTCCCGCGCGTGCCGACGTTGCACTGCGACGTCTTTGCCAAGAAGGAGGCCGAACGCGGCCTCATTGGCTTTAGCGTCGGCCTCGAGTCGAAGGCGGTGCTCTCGGGCTACATGCGCTCGGTGGGCTGGAAGTACACGGAAGAGGCCATCGAACAGATTGTCGACGTCTAACAAGCCGCTCCAGTTCGACTTGACCCGTGCACTTAGTGTTAACGTTACGGTGCCACCAGCGCATAGCTGGGGTAGCGCAGACGAAGCGACGCGAGCTGCGCGAACGCTGGTAGAGTCTCTTGCACGACGGCTGCGTTGGTCGCTGCCCACGCGTGGCGCGTCCACTTCACGACAAAGGCTTGGCCAAGCACGCGGGCGGCGACCACAATGGCGTCGTCCAAGTCCTGCGGGAGGACGGCGGTGTTCGGTGGCAAGCGAAGCAAGTACCCCGCTGTGGCAAACGACCCAAGACGAAACTCGCTACCAGCTGAACCTCAGATGCGACTTCTGAAATGGACCGAGAGAGAGGGTTACCAACTCAGGAGCGTGCCCTCGTGGAAGGCGCGGAGGGCGGCTTCCATGGCCACGACGTCGGCGGCGGGAGCGAGCGTCTACCAGCTTTCGATGAAG